TATAGCTATACTATACAAGGACATACTACTCTTCTACCAATGTGGGACAATACTATACTATATTCATGCTGTAAACTAACAAGCTTAAACTGTTAGAGAGAGCACATAGTTATGTCTTCAATGCGACCTCACATAGAGACTAATTCTTTTTTCATAGGACAAGCACGTGAAGATTACTTCTGATAAAAAGTGACAGTGAGACTCAAACTCAGGACGGCTACCTACTCCAATAACAAGTTGAATTTTATGATCGCCTCATCTAAAATTTAAGCTGTTAGAGAGAGCATATGTTTATTTAAATTAGTTATGTCTTCGACACTTTTGCTTCTTCAAGAGGAATGGACCTCCAAGAGATTCTTTCCTAATAAGACATGCTCAGGTTAGATATGACCAAAAATACAAAAGTCATAACAAAACTATAATGTAATATAATATTCCAGTCATAGATGGGCATCACATTTTCATGCTGCCAACTGTATTTGATAGCTAACATTATTTCCTAATGAACCTCCTGATAAAACCATATACCAACTAAATATGCAAAAAAAAAAAATCCCCTACCAGCATCAGCCTTTTCAAGTGAAACAATTAATGCATCAGCTTACTATCTTAGAGATAATTGTTAGGGACTCAAAATTGCCTCCATTTGATACAATGAGCTGCATCTTTCAAAATCAGATCCTTCAAAATGCAGGTTAATGGCTGAACTACTGAACAGGTAAAAGGTTTGAGCTTGCCCCAGCAATACAAATAATACAACATGAAAAAACAAATATCTTACTACAGCAGAGGTAAAAGGTTTGAGCTTACACCCAGCAATAGAAATATTATAACATGACGAAAAAGCATATCCCACTCAGAATTTCGTGTATATTAACAAGATTGCTAATTAAAGACTTATAACTGGTTTCTCTTATCACAATCTTTTTGATAAAACATGCTACAAAAGTTTTCTCTAGGATGTCACATTCCACAGTATGTTTGCTGATGATAACCCAGAAAATTTCCCCTTCACATAAGCTATTAAAACTCGCCGAGAAACCAATGAGTTATAAAATAAAAGCTCTTTGAGATGGTGGTATAACAGGCATGCCCCAGGATGCCTGAGTGCCTATAAAGCTACATTTCACATTTCAGAGAATCAAACAATTTGAATTACCCAAGTTCATGACATGTCAATGGCTTGCATCTAGTCAAAGAAGAGTTTTTACCCGAAAAGTTCCCTCTACCTGACTTGCATAATAAATTACTACATCTACAAGCATGTAGTATCTCCCAAAACAACAAAGAATGGAAAAGCTAAAGCAACAATCCGTTGATAATGTATCTTCATATATTTCGAATCACAACTTCAAATTAGGATGTTAATTTTGTATCCATGGATTAAAACAGAATAATAAAATAAAAATGTAAAGGTTTTAACGGACACGAAATCCAGTCATCTATATAGAGATTTTAAAAAAAAATAACAGCTCAATGAATGATTTTGATTAGCGCAGCAGGACATTAAGCAGTAAGGGATCGCAAGGTGTCAGACCTTGGTTCACAACATAATATGCTTTAAAAAGAGCAGGTGTATTTATTTACCGCCATAATGAATGCTAACCAACCAAACAGCCTATCTCCACAGCATTAGACACATCATAGTACAATAATACTTACTAAATATACTCTTGGGTATGCACCTGAATTACTTCTCCCTGCTTCAGACAGCTCAAATTGAAGGATTCATCAGTATGCAAAAAATAAGAATACAAATAAATCGAATTCAACCTTATGTTCGCCTACCGACTTGGTTGGAATAAAAACTTTTTAACCATCAAGAGTTTATTAAAGTTTTACCACAGATATCTTTAGCTCGCCACAAGTTCTTTTCGACAATGCAATCAAGTTTATACTCTTTTACAATAACTTATGAATTTTCTACAAATCTCTCTAGATGGAAATACATAATAATTGTTCATCTGAATGAAGATTTTCACTGTAAAAGTTTTGTGATCCCATAAGAATTTAGGTACAATTGGCAGCTGCATGCTTTATATAAAAGAAGCACGAATTAAGAGAACTTGTAGTTCCTGAATTAAAAGGAGTAGGATGCTCGAGTTGATTTGAAATATGCCACACATGACAGAGAAAGAGAGGGAGGATCCAAATTAGAGTAAAGGCTAGTAACTAGAGAAGCTGTTGTCAGAGTTACTTCTCGCAGATGGACCTAAATCAATATATAAACATTACATCAGTAATAATAGGAGGTTTCCTTGAGGCAACTGGCAAGTCTGATGAGAAACTCTTCATAGATATATTCAGTAGAAAGAGACAATTAAAGGGAAGCAAATCCTGTATCCTACTCATGCTGAAGGATCCTCAAAGCCCAATCCAGGACTCATAAAGCTTACTGCAAGTTCAGTGAATCCAATAAAAGTTTAAGCTAATACAACAAATTTCTCCACAATGAGTGTATCCAATATCAGTTGATGCTAATATAACAAAGTTATCCAGAATCCTGTCTTCCAACCTTAGAACATGATATGTTGGAAGTCAAAACTATCATATTTGTACATCCAACAAAATCTAATTCAAAAAGAGATCTGAATTTAGTCTTTGGTTTCCTGCCATAATGCACTAGAACAAGAATTGAACCATAAATTGATGATGAATTAACGGGGTCAATTGTAACCTAGGAAGGTAAAATAATGCAAACGCCCAAGAGTCATTAGGTTTGGAAGACACATCTAAATTATAGCTTGGATTATATATAAACACCCAACCACCCCCAATATATTATTTTACTAAAGATGAACTTCACTTAACTACCTTCCAACAAATGAAGTCCATTCTCAGATAGAATGCTCACTCAATTTCTTCTGGAGAAAAAAACAAGGGCAGCCCGGTGCACAAAGCATCCGGCGTTCACGCAGGGTCAGGGGAAGGCCCGCACCCGAAAGGGGTGTGATGTAGCAGCCTACCCTGATGCAAGCATCACTGGCTGATTCCATGGCTCAAACCCGTGACCTATAGGTCACACAGAGACAACTTAACCATTCTTCCAGAGACTACATTATTATAATTGATGCAGGAAAAGAATTTTGGATATACATGGAAAAAAATAGTAGTAATAAATGATCACCCATGCTGAAGCATAATTAACTAAGGAATGAAATTCCAATCCATGTAAAGAGGAAAGATAGAGCAAAAGAGATAAATACTTTGATTTCATTTTCCCTAGCTCTTCAAGAACAGAAAGGCTTGTGTTTCTTTTAATGGTGAGATCAGAACTTACAGCAACTTACACTTTAAGTTTCATTCCTAAGGACAAGAAAGTAGACCTAGTTCCTAAGTGTCTTGCACTATACACTCTTTTCTGCCCATAAGAAAAGGAAAATCAGATAAATAACAGTAGACAGCCCTTTTCACATGTATGAAGTTTGAATGCTAATACAATATTTTCCATCACAACATGGCCACAGTTATTCCAACTTGAACTTCGACCTCGTAAAAAAACATGAGCAACACAACGGTACTGAGGTCTGTTGTCAGCCAATCCAAAGCCGTGGCACTGATAGTCTCCCCCTGCTGACTAGAGGAAAATTACACAGCATAAGAATTCTGATCAGCTCATATGAGTTTCAAACCAGTTAAAGATTTGTTCTGACTGCAAGCTGGTCATTTCATGATAAGCAAACGCAAGATTCATTTCCTCTTGAATGTGATTCGCTATGGACTTGTCTGGGAGAATAATTTCTCTCTCCTTGAGAGCTGCTTTCCATTGTATAGCACGCCCATCATTTCTCATGAAACCTTTCGTATCAATGAAACCCTTTTGCTGGAACAGACTATACAACTTCTCTGAGGTAGCTAGATCAAGACCCGGAATCCTGTCAGCTAAGAGATTAGATGACAATGCAAACTCCATGCATTTGACCTCTGCAACATCAATGCCTTTTCCCTTCAGGAGTGTCAAGTATCTCTGTATTCTCCGCCTTCTCCTTTCATCTTTGGGCATGTGCACGAAAAGGGTAGGGGAGTAATTCTTTGGAATGTCCATTTGACCAAACAATCCCTCGGCAATCATTATTGCGATGCTACTAAATCTTAAATCAGTTGCAAGGGATGAAACGAAATATCCACCAGATGAAGCACCCAACGCGACAAGAGGCAGGTTTAGAAGCTTTTGTTTCATAATCCACCATTCAATAATATCTTTAACAATCAACCTTTCCTCTTCAAACGACCAGCACCTCCCAGCACTAGTTACCGCAAGAACTGCAAATCTCCTAGCTAAGGCATTAAGGACGATTAGCCTTTCTTCAGGTAGACCCGCACAATTTGGGCACATAGGTGATCTATCCCAAAAGTTAGCTGCTTTACCATTACAACCATGTGCCAGAAAGAGAATTGCCTTGGGTGAGTTTGGGATTTGCCATATTAGATCTGTTCCATTTCTGAACTCCACAGTTGGGTCTAACTTAACCGAAGAGCTAAAGCTATTCCAATTTTGTATCAATAAACCAGATGATGAATCAGATCTTTCTCCAGTTTCTCTATATAAAATCAAAACTAGGACACAAATTAAAATGAGAAATGTAGTAATAACCGGCCTTCGCAAATGCTGGGCATTATTTTGTTGTTTCAGCATCCTATTTCCCCGTTTGAGCATGCCTGGAAAAATAATCAATACAATAGAATCATACATTTTAGCAGCACATCTCTAGACAACTTAAAAATAGGTCAAATGCACGTTCTCGTACAAAAGAGAGCGATAAACCTAATGAAAACCCTATAAATACATTCTTTTGGGGGAATAAAATAAGTAAACCAAAATTCAATTTCAAATATATTGAATCATTTGTTAAATGTCATTTATTGAAATACAGAGCAACAAAAATCACATTATATTAAATAGCATGAAACCTCTTAATTGAAGAATTAGTCAGTTAGCAAAGAAGGAAAACAAACTCTCTTTTCTGTAAGGTAGAATGAATTAGTAAGCTACTTTTGCATAAAATCAAACAAGTCAGGGGCATCACATTGTCAATTTGATAAAGCATGTGATCAACTATTTAAACAAAAGCCCGACACTAAGACTGCGAACACCAAAATACAACCCAAATCGTTTGAATTAATACTAATGAAAGCGGGTATTGTAAATTACCTTAAAGCGTTTCATTAATGATGTCTCAAATTATTCTGTGAGGTTTTAGTGCTACCGACCAAAAACTATTCATATCAGTGAAGAATGAAGAAAGCTACTTACACGCGCCACGACGCGAGTACCCGAGCTTGTCGCCTGGTCTTGGGCTCCCTTACAAATATTTTGAGCCCAACAGGTACAAAAGAAAATGGGATCTTTACACAAATAGCCAGTCATATTAATTGATTATACACAATTATACATATGTAATACATAAATTATGCATTTATTATACATTGACCGGTTATTTTTAGCTTAAGCGGTAGAGCGGGCGTCTATTTGGGTTAATTCTTCAAAGAAAATTGGAACTCTTTGCAGTATGAACCTAGGCCCAAGTTTTAGTTGTTAGTCCGAGTTTGGGGAAAGTGCACAAACAATCATTCTTAAGGCTATTATTTAGAGACTAATCAATACTTATTTTATCCTATAAATTTAAATTAACAATCTTAATTTCAAAAGAATTTAGAATATTTATATCTCGAAAAATTAAAATGAAAAACTGAAATTCATGACACATTGGCTAATGTTTAAATAGCAGCCCCTTAGATTGGTTATCTGGTGTCATTTCTACCCCGAGCTTTTGTTGTTAGCCCGAGTTTAATTACCCTCACTGTAGTAATAAGATCATAAAAAATTCGTGGTTTATTTTTTCTAGTCGGTATACATTGATTATACACAAATATTATATATCCGTCGGCTAGTTTTAATTTAAGCGGTTGAACGGGTGGAAATTTAGGTTGAAAGCTCATGAATATTCAGATAGTAATAAGATCATAGGGATCTTTTCAGGGCATATATAAAAGTTATTAATATTCGTGAGCGTGTATGACATAAAGAAAATACTTTGATTCTTGTTAAATTATGCATGGAAATTATAGATGCGTGTGCTTATATAGACAAATTTATCTTTTTACCGATTTTATGCCAAGTAGCGTAAGATCGATTGAACGCTATCCAAGGCATGAATACTAGCATAAAATGTCAGTGCTTTGCAACTCATGTAGGATAATTATTGGTCAAATTTACCTCCACGGTCAACTTAATTAAAGCGCCAAAGTGGAACAAAATAGAAATTATAGTCATATCATATCCTTATAAATGGTGTAAAAGTTGCAAAACAAACACAGGAAATTTACTGTGATTTGGCAAGTACAAGTTGAGGTAACACCTTTTAAAAGGTATCATCAATACGTGTGGTATAACGGTAAAGTTTCTTCTATCCTTCGACTTAAAATCTTGTAAATGGAGTCCCATTTGATTGAGAGCGCTAAAACATTGCGGCTCGTTAAAACGTTGCACAACCTTTTGGTTTCACTTTCACATTATATATATATATATTGTTGATATGATAATATGGCTCCTTACGTCCGGCATGAGACACAAACCGGCCATGTGATGTGACTGAGGAGCGACGTTCCCATTTGCTCATTTATTTCACTTTGACTATTATTAGCTCATTCTCGCGACATGACTCCACCAGATGTGACCTCAACTCCCGCTTTGTCCTCTCTACACTAGGATAGGATAAGATGATTTGGTTTACTTACATTTTACTTGTGCGAAAATTATAGAGTATAGGTTGTTTTTTAGGTAAATAATAATATATGAATTATTATGCGTGAATAATACTGTGATTGTATACATGAATTGAATCCACGTATTATGCGATTGTTAAATAGAGTATAATTATCCCACAATTTATCTGGAAAGTTCAAAATCGTCATATAATAATCTACAGAAATTAAAATAGAAAAAAGATAAGTTAGGTTATGTGATGATTATTTTTTCCACTAGGTAATCTAGGATTCTTATGCATGAAGATAATTTACAAGAAAAAATAATATAATATTTGATTACCGGAATTAAACTCTAGATAAACTATACAGAGTATAACAGTCTAAATCCAAACGTCGTATTAGTTATACAAATATTATATATTAGTTATATGTGTAGGATTTTGTAATGAAAATCAGATGTTATATAATATATGCAAAATTTATAAGAAGATTAAATTTTCTTATATTTTAAAATAAATGATATTTCAAGAAAATTTTATCCAAGCACCTAATATTAGGTCAAATCATAAGTAAAAAGTATATTAAACAATTGTAGTTATATGATAAAAAAAAAATATCTATAAAAAAGTGCATGCCATTTATTTATTGAATTTTTATAAATAATTATTTTTCGTATTTTTTTTATGGTTTCTTCTTGTATTATGTATTTACTATTTCTCTTGTCAATTAAGTGAATTGCACAGCTACAATCATATCATATCATCATATCATATCATCTATATTATTATAAAAGCATGAATGTTCTACGCTAAATGTTGAATGACAAAAATATCCTTAAAATATTAGCTGCCTATTATGCCCTTCCATAATTAAATTATATCTTAAACATTAATGCCTAAAAACGGAAAAGCAATTCAAATATTGTAGAGTCCAAGTCAAAATATCATTCTTAGTAGTCCACTTCGTAAAGAAAACGTGTTCGTCCATTCCTTCATTATTTTAATGGAAATCAAATTCTATATTCACTATCTATAGTTCTTATTACAAATATTAGACAATCAAGTGTGAAGAAAATATTATCTATAGTTTGGGAAGTTAATTATGAGTTGGAACTAAAAAAAGTCAAATATTAGATATATTTCAATTCTTTTCCACAGAACCAAGTATAAAATTCACCACAAATAGCAATACTTACGCCTCAGGTTATCAAAGTTAATTTATTATGTGGCGTGATCACAAATTTTGAATATACCTTCCCATAAGTGTTTGTTGCATTCTCGAAGTGATTTTAAATTTTTTAACATAATTCTCAAAATGTTCAGTTTCATTTTATCTTTTGATTGTCTCAAAACTTTATTAATGAGTTGGTTTTGATAACATATAATTTTTTTTTTAAGAATTGTTGAACGTCATACATATTCAGCATTGCTTCACAAACAATAGTGAATATTATCATATTTTAAAGTGAGTTTACAACTTTAATCATATAACATTGTGATTCTAAAATATTTAATTAGTTCCATTTTTCCTCCTATATTATGTCAAAAATGTTATTGATAACTTGATTTGAATTATATATTATGTTATTTTTATTTTTAAGAATTGATTAATAAACTTCCTACTTTGTGCATATTCAACAGTATAAGCGATTGAAAGTTTATTATTTTCAATATGCATTTCTCGTGCAACGCACGAACATAGAGACTAGTATTATTATATTATTATAAAAGTATGAATACAATATTGGTTTACCAAAATAACCTTAAAAAATTAACTGTCTTTTATATGTCTAAAGGATAAAATTGTAATATTATTTACTATGTTATGCTAATTTCACTTGGACAATGAAGTTGGACGATAAAGAATTTGCGTGTACTTCAAATTCAACTA